CTCCAGACCTCTGCGGCTCTGGCAACACCACCTCCGATGTCATCTTCTCCCACACAGTTGCTACATACAGTACCATTCTCAGAGTGATGGAGGGCTCAATCCTGCATTTACCCAGGCAGTCAGTAATGGTCCTAGAGGTTGTGTGAAGGCATTTATACAACATAGGAGCCTGGTGTTTCTTAGTCTTTAAAGCCATGCCACAGTCCCAACCTGGGTATCTGCCCATCTAAAGATTAAACACCTTCCCTTGGAAACATCTACAAAGTCCCTGCCTGGCCGTATCAAGAAGTGCTCGCTTATTTGGTGCTCTCTTTTTTTTCCCCCCATGAGCCCTGGAAAGGGGAGATGGTTGTTTCACATTTTGTGATAAAGGGATCTATTTATAAGCTGCATGCTCATTTCGAGCCAGGGTGCTCAACCTTCAGAAGGACAAATGTGCAAACTGAGTGACCACATTCTCTTTATTCAAATCTCCCAGTAAGACAGGGCTTTTCCCCAAAGCAGTAGCCTATTTACACAAACAAAAACCACCCGAGTGTGGCTGACGCCTGCCAACTACATGAGGTAACCTTGCATTGCTGATTTATTCAGATGAGAACTGACTGAGCTTTATATTCTTTATATTACCAAGCAGGCGATAAACCACACTAACCTAATGGACCCTGTAGGCTCACGTAGACCTCTGACTATTTTTGCTCCCCAAGGCACTGTCTTGGTTACTGCTGCAGGAGGCAGACCAGATGGGGCAGATCAGTGCTCCAGTCGGTACCGAGCATATCCTTACGCGCCCAGAAGCGGCTCTTGCCAACACATGTGTATCAAAGCCATCACCAGATTGAGAGTCAGGAGCAAATTGTCCCCATCTTGGTCACGGCAGCCAGGATCTCACAGACTTTGGGGTCTTCCCCTATGGCATGTGGAGCATTCACCGGCAGGGGTCACCTGGCCATCTCTCAATTCGCTGTCCATGTCTAGCATTTGCGGTGCCTCAATCGCTCTCCTTTTTCTCTGCTCGGACAGCTAGCATAATCTAACTGAAGTCTTGCGACTAGACACAGGAGCAGCTGCGTCAGACTCAATGATTAATGCTATACAGTAGGGCAAGCTAAGTGATCACATCGTTCCTGGTGGCCTTGAACTCTACAAAGCCCTCAACAAATTATAACCACATGTGACAAAGCCCCCACTTAAAAGACAAGGCCAAACAGAAAATAAAAAATAAAAGCAAAAACAGGAAAGTGGAGATGGCTTGGAAGCACAAGTTGAATTAGATACTCCTCTTGCTGGGATCGTCTGACCCCAGCTGACTTCCTGCCCCTGGGGCAGGGGGCTGAACCTGATGATCTTGCGAGGTCCTTTCCAGCCCTGATGTCTATGAAATTTTGTCAGCACCTTTTTCTTATGATTCGGTATTTCTAGAGACAATGGACACATTTCAGGGGTGGACTGGATTTTCTTACTTGTAAGATTAGCTTTACCT